AAACCAAATCAGATCAAAAGAATCGAAATAAATTCAATAATCAGAACAGAAATCAAATTGAAATCCTAGAGTCATTATGAGTTACCCAATCGAATCCACCGAACAAAGATAACAAACTAAAACAACATCGCATCAATTGACATGAATAAAATGAACCCTAACGACGAACAATCAAGAAAGAACTTAAACTAAACTTAGGGCATTTGAATAAAAACTATACCTAAACTAATGACAAAATTGAAAAACAGTTTCATGTTATCAACTAATCATGGAGCAAGAACAATTATGGAATTACTTCAGAACAACACGAGAAAAAAAAAAGAAACAAACTCACTGATATGACTCTAGGGTTCTGCCGCCTCGTCGATTCAAAATTCAACCAACTCTGGCGAGATTCGAGTGCTTCTGGTGACGAATTCGTCATGAGGGAAGTGAGGAGGTCCCATGGTGTGAATTTGGTGATATTTGGGGAGTTTAGGGTTTTGGCCGGAAATTTGACCGGAGATTCGAGGAGTTCGAAGGGGATTCGAGGGACGGGGTTTGGGGGTTTGGAAAGAGGCCTTTGGGGAGAACATATGGTGTAAATTTGGTGAAGTTTGGACGACCTTGTGTTTTGGCCGAAATTTTCGATTTGAAATTCGAGATGATGGACCAAGTTTTGAGGGAAGGGAGTTGTGAAGTTGAAATGGGGAGAAGAAGACGATTCTGGGTGTATTTTTGGGTGGAGATGGAGACCAGCCGTCGCCGTGAGGCGATTTCCGGCGGCGGTTCAAGGCGGAGGACGGTAAGGTGAGTCTCTGAGTGAGTGAGGTGAGAGAGACGGACTAGGGGGGTAGGTGATCCGACATTTATATACTCCAAATCTAGGCAGTTCCGGACCGTTGGATTGATGAGATCCAACGGTCACGATTTACATGCCTTGAAACGACGCCGTTTTAGTAGGTTGACCTGATCAGGGACTTTGGCTGAGGTATGGGCCTGCCTAACGGGTCCTCAGGGGATTTAAAGCTTGGGGCTGGCTTGCAGCCCAAATAAATGGCCCAAAATTGTAAACAGCCAGAATTTCTCTTTTCCCCTTTCTTATTTAATTCCCTTTTTGTATATAATTTTCTTTTCTTTTAAAAATAAAAAAAAACCTGAATTAAAATCCTAAGGACCTAGTTAACAAAAACCCTAAAACCAAAGGGGAAAACGGGGGGGCGCGTTGGAGTCTAGAGAGAGAGAGGCTCTGGAGATTTTTTGCTTCCTAGAGAGAGAAAGTCAATTTTCCGGCAGCCATGGCCAATTTGGCCAGCGGCCAGCCTTCTTCTCCGGCTGGTCAGCCACCTCCCATCGTCGCCCAGCCCCCCACGACTTCCAACAACAATCCCCAGCCCCTAGATTACTCGAAAATTCTAAAACCTGCTACGATGAACAGTGCCATGCACGATCATGCCAATATGGTTAATGGACAAATTGTTGTGAAGTTTACTGAAGCTGAGGTAGAGAGAATGAATATTATTGAAGGATTACAATATGCTGTTGTGTGCAAATTTTCATATGGTTGGCCAGAGATCAATGAGCTACGTCGAATAATACCTATTCAATGTGGAATTGAAGGAGAATGTAACATAGGTTATCTTCGTGAAAGACATGTACTGATACGATTGTCACTTTGGCAAGATTTCGTAGATTTCTCATCAAAAGGAGTGAATTATGTCAAGGACAAATTTGGCAATGAGTACCAGCTGAGAACATTGATATATGATCACAAGTTTAAGGTTGGAGAAGAAACACCAAAGGTAATGGCATGAATTTCATTCCCCAATTTGTTGCCTACCTATTTTGTCAAGGAGTGTTTATTTTCCCTAGCCTCAGCAGTTGGTAAACCACTGCATCTTGACATGGCAACAGTGAACAAAACGAGACCTAGTTGTGCAAGAGTGAAGGTGTTAGTGGATCTCCTAGCAGACCTACCTAAGAAGGTACGTATGGATATTGTAAATGAAGGAACTGGGGAGGTGAGAGCTGAATGGGTAAATATCAATTATGATTATTTTCCTAAGTATTGTAAGGAATGTAAATTACAAGAGCATGATATGATGGACTGTTGGAGACTTCATCCTGAACTAGTGGAGTCTAGAGTGGACAAAGTTGTAGGAAGGAGTACTGAGCAAGGTTCTGCAAATCAACAGGGCCCCTTAATGATTTTATCAAGTGGAAAGGTTGTAGGTAATGTGGCAGGTAAGGGTAAAAAACAGTGGAAAGAAGTAATGGATAATAGAGCTAAGAAGAATGTAACATCAACTGGAGTACAAATTGCTACTGGAATGGATTTGGTTCCAATTGCTCAAGCTGAAGGACAACAAGTACAAGTAGGAAATAAATTTGCACTACTGGGATTGGAGGCAGATGGTATTGATATAGAAAAGGAAGTGCAGAACAAGGCTCAAGCATCAGGGAATATAGGTGCTCAAGTGGCAATTCAGAATCAACAATTAGCTTTAATTGATGAGGTGCATGAAGTGATTCAACTGGACAAAGTGTCCCCTGCTAAAGGTGGAAGCCCGGGCACAGCACAGAAACAACAAAATCAAACAAGAAATAATGCATCAAAATTGAATCCTACAGCTCCAGAATTCAATTTAAGTTCAGCAGGTATTGGATCAACTAATGGTAGACCTGAATCAAACATAAAGGGAAAGGGAAAAGAAGAAACAGGAACCAAGGAATCTACAGCTCAGTGGGTGCAAAGAGCCTTCAATGCAAATGCAGGTGATCTGAATGTGGGAGTTAATACCTCCTGCCAGGACATTCCTTCACAGGACACATTGGTGGATAGGGAATTGGTTAATAATCCAAAAATCCAAACTAATGACAATTTTAAGTCAAAGGTGATTGATAGAGTACAATGGAGTGGTGGCAGATTATGGGAAAATCAAAGAGAAGAAGATTCAGATGCAGATGTGGTACCCCTTGGTGCTACAATTGATGAAGAACCAGTTCATGAGGAGAAGGAAGATGAGGAGCAAAGTGTAAATGGTGATGCCATTGTGACAATAGAAAACAATGTAAATAAGAACAGTACAAGGGTAAGTGAAGCACTCAAAGATCAAGCAGTAAGCAAAAAAGCACTTGATGCACCTGGAACTCTTGTTCAGAATTCAGAAGTCATAGAAGGAATAGGAGTGGAAGCAGTGGATCCTGGAGGAACAATAGAAGGAGCAATTCAGAACAATGTGGTAGAAGAAAGGCAACAGGATGTGGTAAAGGATGGGAATGGTGAGCAATCCAATAAGGCAGCAGGCACAACAAAAAGTACTGTTTCATTGGAGCAGAACCAATTAAAGGAACTGAAGAGAGGAGAGGAACAGAGTTTGCTGCATAATTCTCAACAGCAAATAGAGTTGAACACTGGTGGTGCAATAGAGAATGATGAAGCAGATGAGGATGCTTTCAGAAAAGGCTATGACATGGAGCAAGAATCCACAACTCAGAATTTTAAGAATATAGCTAAGCAAGGTGACCTTTCACCTAGGCATCTGGAAAAGGTGAAAACTGCAGTAAAAGGAGAGAAGAAACAGCAGAAAGAGAACACAACTCTCCCTGCAGGTGGAGTTCAAACAAGGAGGACTTTATCCCTTTCTCAATCCAAACAGTAATGGATGCTCTCATTTGGAATATAAGGTCAGTCAATACTCAACAAGCATTTGAAAGGCTCATCAAATTACATAGAAAGAATCATTATGAGTTCATTGGACTTATGGAACCCATGCAACAAGCTAGAATATTGGAAAGGTATAGAAATAGAATTGGTTTTGCACAGGTAATTGCCAATGTATCAAACAAGATTTGGGCTTTCATTGATGAAGTATATGAAGTAACAGTGGTGTACAATTTGGTCCAGCAATTGACTTTGAGATTGCTTCATACAGAATCACATTTTGAATTTGTTCTTACATTGGTGTATGCTAAGTGTGATGTCATAGAAAGAATTGAACTTTGGGATTCTCTGTACTATATGGCACAAGATATGACAGTTCCATGGTTAGTGGGAGGAGACTTTAATGTTATTTGGGATGAGGAAGAAAAGTTTAGAGGCCTCCCAGTATCTTTAAATGAAATAGATGATTTCAGGCATTGTATTAACACCTGCAACTTGATGGACTTGGGATTCAAGGGCAGTATATTCACATGGTGGAATGGAAGGGCAGAAGAAGATTGTATCTTTAAGAGATTAGACAGGTGTGTAGCAAATACAGAGTTTCAGCAGGCATTTCCAGGCATAGAAGTCCAGCATCTTTCTAAGATAGGATCAGATCATTGCCCTCTTCAACTCAAGTGTGATTTAGAGACTCCTCCTGTGAAGAAACCATTTAGGTTTTTGAATTTCTGGGTGGATCATGCATCCTTCAAAGAAGTGGTGAGACAAAATTGGACAGCTGATTTTAGTGCAAGTCCTTATGTTATATTCAACCATAAATTGAAGAAGCTCAAGAAGGTATTATCAGAATGGAGCAAGAAAACATTTGGAGACATTTTTCAGAAGATTGCTAGTTTGGAAGAGGTTGTCCTTGTTCATGAAGCTGAATTTGAAGCAAATCCTACTAGGCTAAACAGACAAAGGTTGCAAAAAGTACAAGCTGAGCTCATTAAATTCTTAGCCGTGGAGGAAAAATTTTGGAAACAAAAAGCAGGAATGTCTTGGTTTAAAGATGGAGATAGGAACACTAAATTTTTTCATGCACAAGTTAGAGGTAGAAGGAAGAAGTTGCAGCTGTCCAGAATTCAAAATAGCCAAGGTGTGTGGATTGAAGAAGATGAAGACATAGCAAAGGAGGCAATCAAATTCTTTGAAAACCAGTTCACAGAAAATGCAGTCCCTACCTCCTTTGAAATCATAGAGCATGTGCCTTCTTTGATAGATATGGGACAGAACTCAGAATTGATAAAGCAGCCAACTTTAGAAGAGGTTAAAACAGCAGTTTTTGGTCTTAATGGGGATAGTGCAGGAGGACCAGATGGTTTCACAGGCAAATTCTACCAATCTTGCTGGGATATAATAGGAGGAGATCTGTTTGATATGGTAAGAGCTTTTTTCAATGGCCATGAGTTACTTAAGTGTGTTACTCATTCTAATTTGGTTCTGTTACCAAAGAAAAAAGAAGTATGTACATTTTCTGACCTGAGACCAATTAGTTTGAGCAACTTCACTAACAAGGTAATATCCAGGGTGATTCATGAGAGGTTGGTAGGTATGTTACCAGGTCTAATATCTGATGAACAATCTGGTTTTGTGAAGGGCAGGAGCATTGTAGAAAACATTTTACTCACCCAGGAAATAGTCACAGACATGAGACTAAGAACAAAGGCTGGTCCTAATGTGATTATGAAATTAGATATGACCAAGGCTTATGACAGACTTTCTTGGCTTTTTCTTACCAAAGTCTTGAGGAGAATGGGGTTCTCAGAGAGATTTATAGGCATGGTGTTTGGCATAGTGTCAAATAACTGGTATTCTGTGCTAATCAATGGTCAAGCACATGGATTTTTCACATCATCTAGAGGGGTGAAGCAAGGGGATCCATTATCCCCTACTTTGTTCATTTTAGCTGCAGAGGCACTATCAAGAGGTCTTAATGCACTGCACTTGAATTTGCACTTCCGTGGATATGGAATGCCTAAGTGGAGCCCAAAAATAAATCATCTTGCTTATGCAGATGATACTATTATTTTCTCTTCTTCTGATGCAACATCTTTAAGGCTTATCATGGAGGTTCTTGCAGCATATGAGAATGCCTCTGGACAGTTGGTAAACAAAGCTAAGTCTGCAGTTTATCTTCATCATTTAACAGACCTTGAAGTTGCAGATAAGGTAGAGAGAATCACAGGTATAAAGAGACAAGAGTTTCCTATCATATATCTGGGGTGTCCTATATTTTACTCAAGGAGGAAAATGGAGTATTATCAGCCAATGATTACAAGAGTAATGGATAGGCTTCAGACATGGAAAGGCAAGCTATTGTCAATAGGGGGAAGGGCAGTACTTATTGCACATGTGCTGCAGAGCATGCCAATACACTTACTCTCAGCTGTTAATCCACCTAAGTATGTGATCAATCGATTACATAAAATTTTTGCCCAGTTCTTTTGGAGCAGCTCAGTCACAGGAAATAACAGGCATTGGGCTTCATGTTCAACCTTATGCATGCCACAGGTGGAAGGGGGGATTGGGTTTAGGTCCTTACATGATGTTGCCACATCTCTTTTTTGCAAACTTTGATGGAATTACAGAACAAAACCTAGTCTGTGGAGTGCTTTCATGAGCCAAAAATATTGTAAAAAATTAAACTCTGTGATAGTTCCATGGAGGGAAGGCTCACATATATGGAGGAAGATGCTGGAGTGTAGGGAATTGATTGAGCATCAGATCATGTGGTATCCAAAAATGGGATCCTCATTATTTTGGTTTGACAACTGGACTAGTTTGGGGGCACTATACTTTCTGGTTCCTCAAGATTTTGGAATTGATGAATCTGTGCATAATGTATATGAGGTAATGGAAGGAGGTGGCTGGAATGCTGAAAAACTTTTTGAGTTACTACCTGAAGAATTTGCAAAACATATAATTCTGAATATTAAGCCACCTACAGCAGAAGGGATCATTGATACACCATACTGGATGTTAGAACCTAGGGGTTTTTTTAGTGATAGATCTGCTTGGGAATATTTGAGAAGGAGAGCTGATCCAAGGGCATCATACAGGATGATATGGGTAAAAGGATTGCCCTTCAAAATTTCATTTTTCATGTAGAAGCTGTGGAGGAACAAATTGCCTTTGGATGACTTTTTCAGAAGGTTGGGGTACTTGATGGCATCCAAGTGCTGGTGTTGTGCAGAACCTAAAGAGGAGACAACACAGCATTTGTTCTTTACTTCATATGCAGCAAACAAGGTGTGGAAATACTTCATGGGACATGCAGGATTGGCTATAGAAGGAATCACATTACATCAAGCCATCATCAAATGCTGGACTATAGATGTAATACCAAGACTGAAGCCAATTATGCAAGCATTGCCATCTGTAAGTGTCTGGGAGTTATGGAAGAGAAGAAATTGCTACAAATATGGAGATGCAGTCACTATCAACAGAGTGGTATACCAGATATCCTCTACCTTGCAGTCTCTCATTAAGGTTAGGAAGCCAGGAGTGCAGCAGGTCCCTCACAGGTGGCCAGACATGTTGAGGATGATGGAGCAATTCACACTAACTCTTAAATACACAAAGGTTCTGTGGGAATTTCCAGAACAAGGTTGGGTGAAAGTGAATACAGATGGAGCTTCTAGAGGTAATCCTGGTAGGAGCTCTATTGGCTTTGTCCTGAGAAATGAAGAGGGTGATGTTCTGTATGCATGTGGCAAGGAAATACAAGAAGGTACAAATTCAGTAGCTGAAGCCAAGGCCATTTATGAGGCTATGAAGTTCTGTGTGCATCATGACTATATCCTCATAGACTTACACACAGATTCAATGGTGTTAAAGAAGGCAATAACTGGAGAATGGAAGCCACCTTGGGTGATAGGTTCATTGGTAGAGGAGATTAGAGAATTAATGAATACAGCTAATGTAAAGCTGTCACATACTCTCAGGGAAGGTAACAAGTTAGTTGACCACATTGCTAATTATGCTCTAGACAATGGACCTATGGAATGCTATGGATTTCAGGAGTTAGATGTTCAGGGGAGGAGATTGGTGAACTCAGATAAAATACAATGTCCATATATAAGAGTTTCAGTTGCAAGGAGATAAGCAGGAGTGGAGTATGTGTATCAAAGGGGAAGGAAGGGACAAGGAGTCATTCAGATTATCATCATACTCAAATCCTTTTGGAGGAGAGTATGGTGATACAGATTTCCACTAACAATGTTTTCTTTTTTGCAGGTAGGAGTTTGGTATTATGGCATGTCATGTAATTCATCTGCTGTGGGTGGTATTAGTATTTCATACTCATTCCCTAGGAGATGAGGACATGGCATACATATATACTTATCTTTGGATGCTGAATAAATTTATCAACAGGAGACTGCCCAGAATGTTTAAAAGAAATGGGCAGGATGGAGCTGAGCACAAAGGAGGCTTTCACATTATAAAGCTGCTCAATAAGAGAAGAGAAAAACAAGATATAGTGTCAGTACAAGTTTCAAGCACTGTGAGAGCAGTAGCATGGACAGACAGAAAACTGGCACTACAGTCAATGAAATTGCCCAGAAAGTTTAAGAGAATTGGGCAATCACATAAGCAAAATGGAACATGGGATATAGGGAATCAGGCATATGAAGGCAGCATAAAAATTAGTTGTTGGAATATTCAAAGATTTGGCAGATACCATACTCAAATCCTTATGGAGGAGGGTATGAAAATGCCTTTTATGACTAACTATGTGTGTTTTTTTTGCAGGGTATGAGATTGTCATCATGCTCTTTCACTTGGCTAACTCTTACTTGGTGGTATTAGTACTATGTACTCAACCCAAGGAGGGAAACAAGTGGAGGAACAAGCATGATAATTAACACTGCTGAGCAAGATATGCCTAAAAGTGGGAGATCTACTGAAACTAGCAATCTTCAATATAGGATACTAGTCACAATTGAAGGGCAACAACAACATACAGAAAAAGGAAGCATTCAAACCTATGAGATCAAAAAGGCACACAGCCTGCAGACAGCAAAATTCCCTTCAGAATCAAGGGAACTCAGCTGGATGATGCACCTGTGGGAAAAAGCAATAAAGCATAAGAAGGGATACAATTCACAACATACAGAGATTCAGACACTCTTGAGGACTTATTATCCTCATGAAAAACAGAAATCAGTGAAAAAACAAAAAATACAACAAGATGAGGAGGGGAAGATCTTTATTCTCATAATAATCTGCAAGATTCGCTGGTATTGGCAAAGAATTTTGAGCAGCATTTCAGCAATATCGACTGGAACATCATCATGCAACACAAAGGAGGCAAAGAAGGGAAGTCAACTGGTCAGTAGCGGCACACACAGAGCTAGGCAACCTAATATATACCATCTTGGCACATGCTGTAGGCAAGATCGAACAGGAGTATCTTCAGGGGCAAAGGCATCACAAGCAGCAGCAACAGGAGAACATGGTGCAGCAATTGGTGATTCGAACAAGGAATTTGGCAAAGGTAGAGCAAAAGTGAATTTCAGAGAGGACATTTTGGAAAGCATTAAGAACTATGATAGATACAGGTGGGTTCAAACGGATACAATGAGTGTTATCAAAGGAATAAATACAATATTGAAGGTTACAAATGGAGACAACACGTGTACAAGGAAAATGAATCAAGAAATGAGGCTAAATCTGCAATTTAAGGTGCTGGAGAATAATTGGACGGAATGTGGCTATATTTGCAAGCAGTATGGAACGCTATGTTGGGCTTATAAGAAATGCAATTTGGGTATATTATTTGGGCTATTGGATCCGGACAGCATGTGGAATTACATTACATGGGCTAGTTTTTATTATACAAATATTAGTAGTAATTTTGTGATATCAATTTTGAGTAGACTACTCAATTTTGATAATAGGTTCTACGTAAGTTTCAAATTTTATTTCTTTCTTTATGCTAGATCATTGAACAAATTGTTTTTGATTATTATTTTATATATATAAAAACTAGCCCTAGGCACATTGCCTAGTGGATTTTAAAAAAAAAAAAGGGACCTAGTTAACCTAATTAACCCTAAATGATGATTACTACAATTAATTGAGACAAATTAAAAGAAACTAACAAAATTCAAAGCTAAAAGTCAAATTTTTATGATTTTCGTTTTTTTGTAAAACTCTAGCTCTTAAAATGTAAAATTAAATCCTAAATGCAAAAATGCAATATTTGTATTTTTTATGAATTATCTAATACTAAACATGCACACACAAATGCAAATACACAAAAATTACACAATTAAATCCTAAAAATCAAATAATAAAAGGAAAATCCTAATTTTAAGAATTTTGTAGGAGCAATTTAAGCGAGACAAAAATCACGTGCTCACAGCTGCCCCTCTTTGCTCGGAGACACGAAGGGTTTTCGGGAAAAGATAAATGAGCAAATATGAGAGATTTTTGCCCGCTTGGCACTCCATGAGAAGCAATTTTGAAAACCGTCTGACCGAACCCTGCTTCAAAGGTTGCCTACATATCCTTGGCTATAAAGGAATCAGGTCAGTGTAGTTCTGGAAGGTTTGGTAGCTGGGACTACCAGGAGCTGTGATTTTACTGATGTTGCTGCTGCTACTGCTTGCTGACCTCCTTATTACACCAAAAGGAAAATCAAACTAAGCTAGCTATGCCTATCAACTATGAGTTACAAGATTCCTATCTATAAGTCTCTTGAAGCTTGATCTTGAGTCTTAGCTGATTTTGCTGTGGACTTCGATCTGAATCTTGATGCTCGTAGGTTGTAGGTGTTTACTTCTTCATGCAGCGTTGGGTCAAAACAGGATCACCGGAGCCTGTGACTTCTATCAGATTTCGAGCAATCCGCATCCTTGTTTGCTTCACATTTGAGTCCATTTCTTTTGTTCTTTTCTTCCTTTCTTTATTCTGGAACGAAACTCACTCCATTGGTCATCTCGCACCCTATGTTTTGAGGTCAACCTGCTTTAAGATATCAAAACAAACAAACGAACGAAATTTTCTGCCTCAGTTTTCACTAGGAAAATTTCGTGAGTTAGTTGTGACACATATCTAAGCAGTCAAATTAGGATTGTGTATTCTTGTGAATGAATCCAGGTTATGCTGGAAAATGACCGAGTTATGCCGAAAAAAGAAAAAGGGTCTCGGGTTATGCCGGGACGAAAAGAAAAAGATCCTCGGGTTTTGCCGGGATTTGGAAAGAAAAAGCTCCTTGGGTTATGCCAGGGAGATCCTCGGTTTTTTGGCCGGGATTTGGAAAGAAAAAGCTCCTCGGGTTTTGCCAGGGAGATCCTCGGTTTTTTGGCCGGGATTTTGAAAGAAAAAGCTCCTTGGTTTTTTGGCCGGGAGATCCTCGGTTTTTTGGCCGGGATTTGGAAAGAAAAGGCTCCTTGGTTTTTTTTTTGGACGGGAGATCCTCGGTTTTTTGGCCGGGATTTGGAAAGAAAAAGCTCCTTGGGTTATGCCAGGGAGATCCTCGGTTTTTTGGCCGGTATTTGGAAAGAAAAAGCTCCTTGGGTTACGCCAGGGACATCCTCGGTTTTTTGGCCGGGCATTTGGAAAGAAAAAGCTCCCTTGATTATGCCAGGGAGATCCTCGGTTTTTTGGCCGGGATTTGGAAAGAAAAAGCTCCCTGGGTTATGCCAGGGAGATCCTCGGTTTTTGGCCGTGATATTTAAGGAATGGGATCCTATGCTACCATGATTTGTTTTTCTTTTGGGATTTTCATTTTTATTTCTTTTCTTCTTTCTTTTTCTTTTTTTTCCTCTTTACATGTTTTCCTTTTTATTTAGCAAAACGCATGAAAGAATTTGGGGGGGGGGGGGACTTCCTTTTTGGTCGTTTTCCTGCTGCAGAGTTGTTTCAGCGCTTGCGCATTTCATTTCTTTTGGGTTGCACCTGCTTCTTGCACGGTTTCTCTGAATAAGACATGTTTCCAACAAAGAACAATTTATTAGTTTGAAATGGTGGTTGGTTTTGTGGCCTCGATCATCCCAATTGCTTGATCCCGACCTCATTTCCGTTGAGAACTTTGCTGCTCGTTTGCCTTGAGGGTGAATTTCTTTTCAAACCGACAGGATTCAACTTTAGGACTTCATGATGACTCGCCCGTGTGGGCTCTAGCCTTTTTACTTTATTCTGCTCTTAGGACCTTTGCCTTTAACTTTCTTTCTTTTCCAATGTCTTTGCTTCAAAAGCATCAACCACCATGGTCAATCGGGATTGGACTGACGCATCCGCTGAGGCTGGGTATTCTCTTCGACTCTTGCCAGGCGGAGCCCTATGAAACCGGTCCTGCCACATTTTCTTTGTAATTGTTACGGAATCAGAGTTAAACCGAAAGGGATTCAAAGAAAAGTATGCAAAAGGCAAGCATATGATTTTAAAGAGAAGCGTTCCTTTCGGGGGAAAAGAATGACTTATCTGGGGTGCATGCTGGCTTCAAATGACATGACATGCTTCTTGACTGGACGCCCGACCCATACAAACTTTCCAGTTTCTCGTGAACCCATTAATCCTTATTTCAAAACCAGGGAACCTTGCCAGGACTCTTTTAGTGGTGAGATGTCTTCTTGTCGGCCGACAGCGCCCTTTGCGGGTTTTCGCCAATCGACCTCTCTCATTTCTCTTCTCACCGTCGCCCGATAGTGCTCTTTGCGAGTTTTCACTAAGCGGACTCTCTCATTTTCAATTTCTCTACTCACCGTCGCCTTATGGTGCCCGTAGGTTTTCACCGATAAGACTCTCTCATTTTATTTCTCTCAATTTGATTGCATCAGATTCCAACAATGATGTTTTCAATTCCCACGCCTTTGTCAATTGATCGGAAGGACTTGGACAAGGTTTTTGGGTAAAAAGAATCTTGGATGGAATTTACAACTTTGGAACCGTTTTGGTAGGCTCATTGACTGGTGTGACTGAATCTCAGCGAGAGGCTGCCTACGTATCCTTTCGGAATCAAGTTAAACGTAGTTCAGGGAAACATTTGGTTTTTTTGTTTTCTGTTTTGTTTTTGTTTTCTTTTTTTCTTTTTTCCTTTTTCTTTTCTTTTCTTTTTCTTTTCTTTTTCGTTTTCTTTTCTTTTCTTTTTCTTTTCTTTTCTTTTCTTTTCTTTTCTTTTCTTTTCTTTTCTTTTCCGTTTTCTTTTCTTTTCTTTTCTTCTTCTTTTCCACTGGTACTTCCGGGTTCCAAAGAGGGTAGCCAAAGAAGGGTAACCGACTCAAATGGATTTACGAAGGGTTAATAGTGTTTGGATAGCGAGAAGAAAAGCCTTCGTCATCTCAATTGCACAAAACCAACACCGCAGAGAGCCTAGACATAGTACCTTTTACTGCATCTGCATTCACAGCTATTTCAAGATCATTTTCTTTGATATCTTCCAAATACAATGCTTCTCTCGGTAATATTTCCGGATGATGTATGGACCCTTCCAATTAGGAGCGAATTTTCCTTTTGCTTCCTGGTAATGAGGGAGAATGCGTCTTAACACGAGTTATCCCACTTCAAAATTCCTGGGACGCACCTTCTTGTCGTAAGCGCGGGCCATTCTTTGTTGGTACAACTGCCCGGATGTGCCCTGAGTACAGCACACTCTTTTGTTGTAATGTATGGACCTTTCCAAACCGCGAACTAATTTTCCTTCAATTGTTCCAATTCTTTGTTTTATTTCCTCAAGGTTACATTCTTTGCATTTCGACTCTTGATTCATTATTTTGAAATCTGACAGCGTTTTGGGATCTAGGCATGAAGTCCGCCAGCATGTCATGTTATTTAAAGCTGCATTATTAGAGCTAAAGAGAAGAAATGAAGGAGAAAAATAGCAAAATCAGAAAGGATAAAGAAAAATGAACGATGAAATATTGATTTCATTTCTCGGAATTTTTGAACATAACAGGGTTCACATTCGGGAACTTAAAGACAAGAAACTAAAAGAAACATCCAAGTTACACCCTGGAATAACTCGGGATGCAGAAAAAGTGGCAGGACAGGTCTACCGGGACTCCCGCCTAATCGGGAATGGCGTAGCCTTCCAGTTTTTAAGCTTGGCACTTGGTCCCATGTATAGCACCTCAGCAGTGCTAGTGCCCTCTCCCGGCTGGACCATGTGGGTTTCGTAGAGCATTTTCCTCATTGCCCCACGTATTTCCTCATTTTCTTCAGCCGTGAAAACCTCATCATCTTCCCCTCTACTGTACTTAGGCTTGACAAAAGTTTCATAAAAATGTACCACCTCATAATCGGTCATTTTCATTTTTTGAAAGAACATTTCTGCTTCTTCAGCACTTACAGGCCTCTTAGGCGGGGAACGCCTTTTGGTAGCATTGTTCACCTCTTCTATGTTTGAGTACTTTTCGGCGGGAACATTTTCTAGAAGCCCTCCCAGGGTCTCTTTCCCTTTATACATAACCACCGTCTGATGGTAGTTCCATGGCACTGCAGCAGGGTTGGTCACAGGCTTCTGTGGTACGCGTCCAACAACCACTGGCTCACTCAGCCGAGGTGGTTTGATTGTCCCCCGTACCACATAGGCTTGCTTGGGTATGTACACTTGCGTCCCCCTTTTCACTTCCAATTTCTTTGGAGGGTTCACAATCAGCTTCTTTTCTTGACGGCCTCGCGGGATATAGAGAATTCCATCCATAGGAGGTTCCGTCTCTGCTTTTGTCTCAGGTTTCTTCTCAGGCTCAGTTTTGACACTTTTATTCTTCTTCTCCCCTTTCTCTTGCTTCGGGGCTACCTTGGGTTTCTTTTCTGCGTCGGCAATAGCAATTATAGCTTTTAATGCTGGATCAAATTCTCTGTCTTCACAGATCATCCCGATTACCGGCCCGTTGTTGTGAGCGGGCAACGGATTATTGGTCACATTAGGGGCTTCTTCATCCCTCAACACTATTTTCCCTTGTTCAATCAAATCTTCCACAGCTTTCTTCAATGTCCAGCAGTTATCAGTACTATGCCCTTCAGCTCCTGAATGGTAGGCACAATGGACCCCTCGTTGATAAGCTGGAGATTCCGGGTTCTGTCTGTTTTGGGGAATAGGCTGCAGCGAATTCATCTGGACGAGTTTCGGGAACAGACTGGAGTAAGGTTCACCAATCGACGTAAAATTTGGTCGTCTGGGTGGTTCCCGAGGGCGGAAGTTATTTTACGGTGGTCGGGGATTATATTGGTTCTGGTGAGGAGGTTGATTTCTTTAGAATGGAGGTGGATTTCGGTTAGCCTGTGGTTCCGGTCGGCCGAAGGGTTGAGCATTCATGACCGCATAAGGTGGAGGAGCATAAGCCATATCAGTATGAGGATAGTAGTGTTGAGGGGTTCTTTCAGAAAACACCGGTCTAGGAGCCCGGTGTCTTCTTCCTCCCGATGCTGCCATCACTGTTTCTTCTTTCTTTTTGCCTTTAGCCATTCCTCTAGACCCGCCTTGGATGGCTTGGGAGGTTGCTCTTATGGCTGACTGGCTCAAAATTCTACCTGTTTTTAGCCCATTCTCTACCATCTCTCCGATTTTTATTGCCTCTGTGAAAGGTTTGCCCATGGCGGACATCATATTCTGAAAATAGTCTGCTTCCTGGGCTTGAAGGAAAACAGTGACCATCTCTACCTCATCCATCGGAGGCTTCACTCTTGACGCCTGTTCGCACCACTTAATTGCATATTCACGGAAACTTTCTGAAGGCTTTTTCTTTAGATTCGCCAAGGAGTTCCTGTCTGGCGCGATGTCTATGTTGTACTGAAATTGTCGAACAAAGTCTCGGGCCAGATCGTCCCAAATATGCTAACGCGAGACATCTTGGTCCATATACCATTCTGAAGCGATGCCAATTAAGCTTTCCCTGAAATATGCCATCAACAACTCTTCTTTGCCACCGGCTCCCCGTAATTGATTGCAATACTTCTTCAGGTGAGCAATGGGGTCACCATGTCCATCATACTTCTCAAATTTTGGTGTTGAACCCTGACAGCAAGTGTACATGCGGGAACATACATAGGTCTGTGTAGGAGACACTCTTTTGCCCGCTCAAGCCTTGCATATTTTTTAAGCTCTGCTCGAGGCTTCTCATTCTCTTTGCCATCTCATCCTGCTCCGGGGCTTTGGGGGTTTTGTCCTGCCCTG